CGATCTCTTCATAGATATGACCAGTGGGGGTATCGCTTCGAGCCCTCGGACTGTTTGATTGGATTCCATTCGGTAGCGGATAGATTGGCTGGCTCATTCAGAGCTTTATAGGGTCGCGGAGACTGAAGGTGCTTGTTCGTCGCTGCTGCCTACGACCCTAAAAAATATAGTGCTAATTGTATAAGAGGACTTTTGTCGTCAACTGGGCGAACTTCTCCGACACCAATGAACAGTTGGTGTGATTCTGGCTTGTAATCTGAACTACCAAATTGGAAAATAGTCCACTGGTGAGCTTCATCTGGGCAGTCGCCCGTAGCCTAGATGTAACGAGCTTGTCTCGTACTCTTGCGTCGCGGGTTCGAATCCGCGTAGAGGTGGGCGTCCTCACGGTATTCTCAGCCCGCGTGCGACTGATGCTGGTTGCACGTCAGTGAAGCGCCGTTACGGCGGACAGCTGACACATTATTACTCGATGTAGCTCCCGTACTCGTAACGATATGCACTTGTCACATCAGTGGGATCATGCTCGTCTATTTCTCGCAATCACTAACTTCCGACGTAGCACCTGTTGCAGTGTGACACGACGCACACCAGCTTCGGGCCAACGAAGTATGCGAATTGATCGCACTGCGATCAGTTGCCGCTCGAAAGGTTGTGTCCTACACTGTCGCTGGACTTGGAGCACAAGCGTGGTGAACTGCTAAGCGTTTCAACAGTTGTCCACGACGCCGCTGTGAGTGTGTAAACACCGGCCAACTGGAGAAGCCAAGTGTACTGGGTGCGTATCAAAGTAAACAGTTGAAGGTCACTGGTTGCATGTTTGCCAAGTATTAGCAGCACTTATGTCTTCAAGTAGCAAATCAAGTTTCCAATTTGGACATTGGGTCTATACGCAGTCTAGGGACTTCTGGATGCTCGCTGACACCTTCCTGCTGAGAGTGAACACGACGCGACTCGCAAGGATCACATGCCGAAACTGCGTGCTAGCTTGATGAGTGACGCCGAAGTCTGGTGCTCTCCTGGTGCGTCGATGGCAGTGGCCACTGTCTTTGGCAGTCATTGGACATTATTTCTTCTGATACTGGAAGTATTTTACTGCATTCGTTCCAGCAGCTCACAAGCTACATAGCTCAACCACAATCCAGAAAAGCACCAGACATGTTTCATCCTATTAGGCCTCCTTAGTGGTGCGCATTCCTCTCGGTCCCCTACTGGAGACCGAACCCATGACCACTAGGGGCTGACGCCATCTAGCCAGCACTTAAGCCACTAAATCATGGGGGACGGTGGCTGAGCTACATAAGTTGCAAGTTAACTGTGCTATAGCACGACCTGTCTTCCACTACCACGCAGGTTACTACCTTTGCAGACGACAGCGGCTAGGCTCCACGGTCATGGCTTCCTCTCAGTAGATGCTACGTCCCTAACATTTGCAATTAGAAGAGACTACACTCTATATTACTTATGGACATATTGTCTAGTGCGAGGAAGTCGTGACCTCGGATCCTAGCCACTGTTAACTACAGAGGTAGTAACTTGCGTGGCAGTGCGTGAGAGCTCGTATTATATCCCAGTTAGATTTGCAAATTATGTAGCCCAGCTACCGTCCCCATAGCTTAGTAGCTTAAGCTGCTGGCTAGTTGGCATCAGACTCTAGCGGCCATGGGTTCGATCCCCAGTAGGGGAGCGAGGGACTGCGCATCACTGAGGAGCCCCAATAGGGCGAAATGCGTCTGGTGCTTTTCCGCATTGTGGTCGTGCTATGTAGCTTGTGAGCTGCTGGGACGAATACATTAAAAATTTACCACTAATATCCTCCTACGCATAACTGATACTGGAAATGGGCAACCGGGGACTTGGTGTTAGCGAAGCCATATACCACGTGAGAAGACAGAGAATCCACAATTTGCCGACACGCTTTGAGTTCTGGGCAGAACACCTGGAAAAGTAGCATACTCGGCCACAGTTACCGGCCTCCTTATCCTCTAGTGGTCACCCCTCTCTCTGGGCCGTCCACTTGGAACTATCCTCTTGCGCAAACGTCGAGCATGGAATGAAACTGCTACAGTTGTATGAGACCTCAGGAACTGATAGACTTCTTCAAGCCCACTGCAAATTCAGCGGACCTGCTCTTATAGATGATTTGATCGAGCCATCGCGATCTCCGCCTATCCTCAATCGATTCTAGGGTACTTGCATCGTCGTTCTCCTTAAACTGATTAGCGCTTGTGAAAGTCAGATTCGTGAAGAGCAAGCCGGGTTTCGACAAAGTCGTGGATGTTTTGACCACATCTTCACTTTACTTCAGTTGTGGGAGCACCACTTTATTTATTGGGGAACCAGAAGATCAAAAGTGCATACGATTCGGTGGATCGATGATTCATTCGGGAATGCTTAATCGCGATAGGAGTGGCTGTGAAGGGTTTATATACGCAGAGTCGCCATGGGCGCGTAGTTCGGATAGTTTATGGACTCACGACAAACTGTCACCACACTTCAATAACTCTAGCGATGGGAAGCAGAAATGCCAGTCGTCAGCTTAATTTCTCAACTTTGAATTCGGCGCAGTTATGGAAACGTTCATTGGGCTCGACTAGGAAGATGTGTAACTACTTCCAAGTGATCGATCTCTTGCTTGGAGTACGGACACAACATAGCTCTAATTTTGTTCGCCCACAAACGTGCCAAGCAGTTGTGGGCAAATTGGCACTGACTCTCAGTCGTCTCGGGTTTTGTTTTGCACTCTTGAAATCCAAATTCCTTCTCCAACAATGACCGGTCGCGCCTGCTGCACGGAATCATGCTTGGTTTCACCTAGGCATTCAGAATTTCAAGTACCTGGTCAGCTGTATCCGTGTCTGTGAAATAAAAGATGAATTGACGAACAGTATAGCCAAACGTTACTTCACTTTAACTCAGCTTAGCCGCACCTAGCGCCGAAGTGATGTGACTGTCGTTCTCATGCATGGAGTCTGCAATCTTGCCGGTTATGCTACCCTGTTAATCAGATGGACCGACGTAAGGAGGCTAATTACGTTCAACTGCTGGTGTCTTCGCACCTTGACTTATATCTGGTGGGAACACCGCATAGGCCATAAGCGTGTTCGGCGTCTTGTTTATGGCATAGGAAGAGGCAGTGAACCCGTCAGCACCGTTATATAACGCACCAGGCTCCGACGGTTGGGCTATGTGTTGTGCATTCCAGTACATCGACTGCCGCGTCGTACAATTTTCACGGCTGATGTATGGATGAACGAGGAGGAGTGGAGGCCAATGCACGACTTGGTCAACATAAATGAAAGCCCTAACTTCGTAGTTGGCCTCTATTTGAGCCTTTCGACTTCTGGCTTGATGTCTGATATACCAGACACGTTTGGTTGGATACGTCTGTTGACCTGACGAAAAGTCGACCTCACTCTCGATGCAAATGTGGAATTACGTTTAGTATTGCCTATTTTAATTTGGTATTCTATGGTATTTAGTATCACACCTCGAACTGCTGCGCAGTAGCTGCGATATTTCTCCGCCTCCCAGTTAACCTTTAGAGTGAGAATTACTGAGGCGAACCGGTGATCATAGTCTACCGGTAATTTGCGCTTTGCACACGTGTGTAACATATCGGCGTGCGCAAATCCAGTGTTTACAACAACGGTTCCACTATGACGGGATCTGATCAAACTAGGGCTTATCGTGATGTTTGTCGCTCAGCTGACAGAAAGTTTATCTCAGAAAACATAGAACTCATATGAGTTACATCCATTAGAAATTCCACGATATTGTTAAAAAGGAAGCGTGCAATGCGCTGCTCTAAAGAGCTCCAAATGGCTTCTTAAATTTGTGAGACAGATTTCATGAAACTTGTACAGTATTCTGGCTGGCTGGTGTTCTCTGTTGTGCATTAATTCCTTGTTACCGCACATTTGTGTTACCCTCAAGTGTGAACTAGAACCAGCGATGTGGTTCGGCTAGGATGGCTTTTCGCTTCTGCATTCTCCATCTCTCACGTTTCCTAAGTCCACCTGCTCTCTCGACCCGATTTCAGGCTCCGTTGTGGCTTGCGCATTCGTCTCCTCACGCATTGAACAAATTCTCCTGACCAGCGTCTAAATAGTCAAACCGACCTCAAAGGCACTAGGACTGATAGAGAAAGAACTCAAAGTAGAGTGGTGAAGTTGTCGGGACAAATGTTGCTAGGTTAGTCTTTGGTGTGTTTGCACAGTGACTGCAACGTCCTGGTGTCCTGAGGTAGACGGGATGTCTCGTGGTGTCTCAGAGCCATTGGTGGGCTGATACAGCGGCCATACACTGGACCCAGCTCTGTACCGGGCCCCGGTTATATAAACGTTTGTTGCCCATTTTGCTGCGAAACCTGCGCTACGTTTCGCCCTTGACAAGATGGGTATCCAATGTATTCGTCATTTTGTTATCACTTTCTTCTTCCTCGCCTTCTTGGAGGTTCCAACTAACACTATATTTACTCTAACATACATATTTCTAATGATTTTCGCCCTCAGCACTGTACTGCACAATGGGACTGGCCTTTATTTGAACTTAAGAGGTTCACTCTAATCGGATTCTTCATGTGAATAATGGACTGCCGCAAGGGGATGACTGATGCACGTAGCGCTTGCACTTACGCACTTCGTGGGCTTAGCTTCACCAAGAGGATTCGTTTCTTTACAGGATCACTCATGCTTTATACACACCCATTATAAAGCCAGATATAATATTACCGCATTCTAGCTTTTCCGTCGTTCGGTTCGTCGATCAAATTGAAGCTGCAACTTCTTGATTAGTGCCCATCAAACTGAATTTCTTTTCACTCAACAGTATTTGCTTCATCTGTTACTGCCCTGGAAGCCATTAAGAATTCTTTATGAAATGGACCGCAGTATCGCTCATACATATCCTCTTGCTCTTTTAGTTATGTAACCCCCACTTTGTAGAACATCTCGGTGTAATACCGCTGGTCTACCTCTTTTCTTTTACTTTGAACACAGCATTCGATCGCGCACTGTACGGCAAATACACTTGTCAATTTAACATCATCTCTGGTTCCATGGAGTCTGCGGAAGTGGAAATAACTGGTAACATCAGATTGTGTTGACGTTTTCTTCATCCTATTTGCAAAGTTCTACTTTTGTGCTTTGTCAGTGCACACTCCCATACCTATTTTATTACAAGTGAATTGTTGTGTTGCTTATCTTAAGACATAGACTCGAGCATATTTTCCACCTTTAGCGTACGTTGTCTGTTGGTTCCAACCCAGGTAGTTGCAACCTTAGTCTCATTCTTGGCACTCATGGAAATGGCTTCCCTTGCTGCCTAGCAAATGTTGAGTCGCTGTTGGCCCCATAGCTCTTAGCTTGTCTCTTTTATTTCTTCGTCTGTGACCATTCATTGAACCATACGTAACCATGCCCGTATTAGCCAATAAGGCTGAATGAACTTTCCGTTTCTCCTTCTCGCTGGTGAACTTACCCATTTCTCAACTCCTTCATCCTTTGAAATTCCGGTTGTTGATACATGTGCTCGGCCAGCCAACCAGCCATTTGGCGGCAGACACTGCAGCATTTTCATTAATTGTTAATCTACGAGCCTTTGAACTTGGATAGTTGGTTGCACCCGTCTACCGCGATTCATTTACTCGCTTTGGATTCCCTACCAGAATAGATCATATTCCATAGCAATCACGACAGTCGGGCGCAACGGACTCATGCCTCCCGTCCGGATATTAAAGCCACCTTTGCTGACATGCGTGATCTTTTACTACCATTGTTCGGGAATGCGCGCACGGAAGACTGTGGTTAAAACTGCAACGAGCCTCCTAATATTTGTCGTCTAACTTCCTGTTTTATAGGTTAGTTGTCACCTCACCGGACCGTTTCACGTAACCAAAGTCTTTGGTCGCTCTAAGAACAACACTGCCCAGTACTTCGGCTGCCACTTGGATTGATGGACATATTTAAACCTCTAACAGTTTTCCCGTTCCACCTGATGCCTCGGTACTCTTGCTAACCTTTGCTGAACCGTGTGAAACGTTAGCAGAGAGAACAGTCCAACACTATTATCTGGTCAGCTCACTGCAAGCGCATTGCTATCACACGTAATATCACTCTGTTGGATATACATCCATCCGATATCCGCCATCTTGCAAGCATTTTATGCCCAGACGATCTGACAACTTCTCTCCCGCGTACGCTTTCGCTCCTTTCTCCAATGCTTGCAACCATGAGAGTAGGGTTTTAGGTTTGCCGTGAGCATAAGTGTTTTCTGGTGTTTTGATACCGTCGTTTTATACTCCAGTTTTAAGCTTTGCTCCCTCATTCCTCTTTTAATGTTAAGGTGTATACTACTCTCACGTTCTCGGAACGCGCATTTACCTATGCTTCCGTGCGCAGATCATTAAAGTCTCCAGATCGCTTCCTCCCCTATTAAAACAGTCCCTCCGTTAATCAGACGATCCGACCAGGTCATTGGCCCGTATTCTGGCAAACGCTTTTCCTACACCTGCGAAGTCATGGCGTACCCAGACATTGTCGGCGCAGTTGCCTGGTCACGTGAGGGTAAGCCTATACAAATTAACTCCAAAGGAAATGTACTTGTTCCGGCTGGAGAGTGGGCTAGTCGGATAACGTTTGAAACGGACCAACATCGTCACGATCGTATAGTGTTTGATCCAGTTCAACCTGAGGACCGAGCTGTGTACTCATGTTTCTTGCGCAGCCCATTGGGCAATGCAACAGGCGCTTTTTATCTACGAGTGAAGGGTGAGTTTGTGGTCCAACTACTTTATGTACATTAGTTTTTGAAAATAGGCATTCGACTCACAGAACATGGAATCAGAAGGCTACTTTCTTGTTTAAAATGTGCATCTTCCTACATGAAACCACATTATCTCTCCACTGCTTTGGCGCAAATCGCGAGACATCTACAATAGTCTGATGATGAGAAATGCCAAGTGACAATGAATGTCTTGAACTTGCGGTTCAGTTCGGTAACCGCGAAAACATCAGAGGCTAGTGGAAGCTGTAGATGAAACTTAGATCGGTTAGGTTGATTCGCGTTATGGCAGAGCTCGGAATTAAACTGTTATTCATCAGCGGCAGGGGATTGAATACAGGATCAGAATTGGGTTTTCCTTTGTTGCATAACGTGCAGAGTATCTTGTTAACATTGTGCTCGACTCCAAAGCTCCCATCCAAGTAGTCAGCTCCCAGTAGCATGATTCGATTTTTGGTTTTTTTTCATCTTCCTTCCTTGTATCCTCAGATGGCCACCTCGGGACTTCGTCCGGACAAAGTATCGGCAAGGGGTGGTCGATAGGTTTGCAAAGTAGTGACGCAACCCATCTTTGGTCCAACTGTAGCGTTGTTCAGTGGGTCGCTGCGAACTTGCGCACATCCAAAGCTACTCACTAGTTGTGATCCGGTCATGCTCGAACAACACTTTATAGGCAACGGTGGCCAAAAACGAGCGGTTTTCTGATGTCATCAACACATAATGACCTTGTCTTTCAAGGTACAACATTTCAAAGGGTACTTTGAACTCAGATATTCCGGGCACTCTCATCGACTGTTAGCATATAATCCGCGGAATAATGATGTACATTTACAAGGAAACAACGTTCAAATTGAGTGAGTTTAAATTTGAACTGATCAAAGAACGTTGCCAATGCGAGGCTGGTCATAGACTCAGTCTGTTTGCACAAATTGGGTTTCAGTCTTCGAATTGCTGTAGCTTCGGTTTACTGAAGCAGGCTAGCATTGCACTGTCGGTTAATTATTCCGTACGATTTGTGGGAATTTCGACATATGGCGCAGCCCAGGATGTGCTGAGCAATGTTGCTAGCCGGCAGCTTGGGACCATTCGCGACCAGATTACGTCGAATTTTTTCGGAACACCTAAATAAATAAATAAATGATATATTCCTCAGTGATTCGAGATGTAGTCCAACTATGTGGTCTGATCAATGTGTACAACAGGATCGCAAAACAAATAATCAATTTGTTCACGCTTTTTATAATGGATCCAAAACAGGTACTTAACTAATTGGCAGGATTAAGGCATTAAAGAAATTAAAAACCAGGAACAAGAACGTAAGCAGATTTAAACAGATGTCCAGTTAAAGTAATACGGCCACTCGTGGAACCATCCCCATTTCTGCATGCATGAGGTCTTTCTCCCGCACTTCAGCAACTGCCTTCGTGATGAGATCGCGCCATACGCTCCGATCAACCGCTTTCGATTCCCATGACCTGCAATCAAGATTAGAACATGTGAGGCTCACTTTGATCATGTCCTGGTAACGTAACTTTGGTTTCCCCGCGTGCCGCTTCCCAATAGTCAGCTGCCCGTACAATAGTTGTTTCGGTATCCGAGTCGAATCGATACGCCACACATGACCGAGCCATCTCAGGTGTCTCAATAAAAGTATGCAGTCCACTGCATACATCCCACTTCGGCGCAACACTTCCGTGTCTGCAACTCTGTCGCCCCAACCGATGCGCAAAATTCGTCGCAGACACTGCTGATGGGACCGCTCGAGATATCACACATCCCGACGGTACATCGTCCACGTTTCACTGCCGTATGGAAGAACGGACAGTACCATAGATTTGTACACCATCAGCTTTGTGCCGACGGTAAGCTGATGGTTGTTCCACACTCGGTACTCTAGTTTTCCGAATGCCGCCGCTGCCTTCGACATGCGGATACGCAACTCAACGTGTAGCTGCTGATCAGTCGACATCACACTCCCAAGGTAGCAGAAGCGAGAGGTGGTTTCCAATACTTCAGCATTAATGCTGATTTGCGGCAATGTTGAAGATTGCACCTCCGGTGAAGGCTGAAAGAGACAGACAGTTTTGCTTGTGTTGATGGTGAGCCCAAATTTTGCCGCTGTCGAAGCCAGAGCACTAGTCATGTGCTTCAACTCATCCGCGCTGTGTGAAAACAGCGCACAGTCGTCAGCAAACAGCAACATACGGATAGTTGTCTCACAGACTAGAGTTCTCGCACCGAAACGACGGATGTTCAGCAACCCACCATCAATACGGTGCTCCACACGAACACCGTAAGCACAAGCGGCATCAAAAGCACAAGATAACATTGCATGAAGATATATCTTAAACAGGGCAGGAGCTAAGACACAGCCTTGCTTCACACCAGTGACAACTGCAAAGTCATCCGAGGTCTCTCCACTCAGCTGCACCCTCGCTCGCATACCACTATGCAGACATTCAATTTAACTTACAAACTTACGCGGACAACCAAACTTACCCAACACCAGCCACAATACCTCACGGTTCACCGTATGAAATGCTTTGGTGAAATCAACAAAAAGCGAGTACAATGGCTGATGTCGTTCTCTGCACTTCTCTTGCAACTGACGAACCGCAAACACCATATCTATAGTGCTGCGACCCGAACGGAATCCACGCTGCTATTCCGCCACGTTAGGTTCCACAACCTAACTGAGGAGGCGTTTGAGCAGGATACGGGCAATCACCTTGTCCACACAACTCAGCAAGTTGATTCCATTAACATTTATTTTTGACATTTGCATGCATGGCTCGAGGGATGAGCTGTACAGCAATATGCCAAGAGAGGACGAATGTCCCAGCAGAATAGGAAATACTGATTGAAATAAAAAAAACTTCAAACAGTGGTCGGAACCGCGTCAATTGTCACCGTGTGAGATTGGGTGCATGTTATGTAAGGCGTGATGATGCCCCACGCATGTAGGTGTCGTAGACCTTCAGAGTCAGACGAAGAGTAGAAACACGGAGGTCAGAAATATCAACTGATGTCATCCCGAGTGCGGTAAGATGTTTGACTGAGGTGGAACATATCATCCCTCGATTATTGATAACGACGGGGTGGTGAACAATATTTGTCGTCTCAGGAAACTGTTCACGTATGTATCGCGATATGGCTGCGGCATTCTCCCCTGATCCGTATTTATCCACTTTCAGTTTATAAGTACAATCCATTCGGTACGCGTCACAGATGGCCACGTCCACAATGTGAACCGTAGAATTTCTAACCGCAAGCAGGTCTGGCTTGATGAAGGAGGTGGCTGTCGGAATCCTCGGCTCCATAACAATGTTAATGCTTCGGCGCCGCAATTGCCTGGCAATCTGTTGGGCAATTTCATTGTGACGTTTACAGCGGACATCATGCGTGATGCAGCACGCCTGAAGAACATGTGACAGAGTCTCTTTTTGTCCGCAGCTCCCGCGGCAGTTGAGAGAAGCCGGGTCATTTGTAGATCTGCCTCTGCTCCGTCGCGTTTTGGTAGAAAGAACACCCCCCCGTAGTTGGACACCCCGTATGAAAAGACGTGGAAAAATCCTGGTGGGGTCCCTCAGCCAGTGGTGAGCGGAAGGTGACGTGACCACATTTCGCAAGGGAGAGCCATCCACTGAAGCAAGAAAAGCATCTCTCCAGGCTTCCGCAGCTGAGCTTTTATCCATGACGACGCGATTACCGATGGTAACAGTGGAGCGCGCTAGATGATGGATGGCAGCGGCTGCAGGGTCCCGGATCGCCCAACTGGTCACTGGATGGCAGTTGGCTAGGTGTCATTCCAGCCTCTCCTTCCGTAGCAGGGGAATACTCGTTGACAGACACGGAATACCCAAACCAAAGCTGGCAATGGGAGTGTGAAGATATGCAATTCGTGCAACATTGCTTGCTCCCTTTGCCCTTGTACAGTGGTAGCACAAGGGCATGCTTCAGCTCAGGAGGCATCTCCTCCTCAATCCATACACGTTGCACCAAGTGGTGCAGCGCAGTCAACAACGCGGGTCCACCGTGTTTCAATACTACAGCCGGGATCCCGTAGGCTCCGGCACATTTGCCGTTTCGCAGCTGAGCAAGTGCTCTCTGCGTCTCATCTAGTGTCGGCGTGTCCGCCAGATTCGCCTTCACATCGTGCTGCTTCAGGCCGTTCAATGTAGGCCAGTCGATATCTGAACAGTTGTTCAAGAGACAGTTAAAGTGTTTCCGCCAGATCTGCATTATGTCTGCAGTCTGTGTGAAGGTAGCGCCTGAACTACCATCGATCATTATCCTCAGGGGCTCCAATCTCGGCCCATACACCGCCTTCAAGGAGTCAGAGAATTCCTTGTGTTGACGGCGTTCGGCGTAGCATTCCACCTGCTTCGCCTTCTCCGTCCACCATGCATTTTTTATGCGACGGAGCTCTCGGGTCAGTCGCAGTCGAAGTTTGCGAAACTTACTCTTCTTCCTCAAGTCACTGGGGTCTGCCACATGTGCAGCAAATGCTGCATTCTTCTCCGACACCAATGCGCCGATCGTCGCATTGTTCTCAGCAAACCAATCAGGCCGCTTGCAGTTTGCGCGCCCGATGGTCTCCTTGGCAGCAGCTGTCACCTGGTCGCGAATGTGGTGCCACAGTTCGGCCACTGTCGCTATGCATTCCACATCACACAGGCATGCAGCCATCGCCTTCTCTAGCTCAGTATGTTTCGCCACAGTACCAAGGGAGAGAATGTTAATTTTACCTCGATTTACGGCGGGGGTGCAATACATAGATTTACGAAAATATATGTACAATTTGGTCCGCACCAACTTGTGATCAGTGCCACACTCAGCTGCACGCAGTACACGTGTCATGCGCACTTCACGCATATCACGCTGACGTACGATGACATAGTCAAGCAGGTGAGGATGCGTCCAAGTTTCTATATCACTCGCACTCAGTGCAAACCGAGTGTTCGTGATTGTCAGGCAGTGAGTGGCA